GCTGATTTACAGAAGGATTTAGATCATTTAGTAAGTTGGGCAAATAAATAGCAAATGAGTTTTAATTATAATAAATGCAAGATAATGTATGTGGGTTATCATAATTATAAGTATAATTTGTATGGGAATAACTTTAACAGTGTCACGAAAAAAAGTGATCTTGGTGTAATAGTTGATTAGTGTGCTATTGATAGTGGCAGTGAAATAGGATTTTAGGTTGTATCTACCTAAATATTGAATACAAGTCTAAAAAGGTTATAATTTCCTTGTATAGGTCACTGGTTAGGCCATATTTGGAATATTGTGTTTAGTCTTGGGCTCCTTACCTTAGGAAAGACAATGAATTGTTGGAAAGGTTTCAGAGAAGGGTTACTAGAATGGTGCCTGGGATGGAGGGGTTGCCATATGAGGAGAGGCTTAAATCTCAAACTGTTTTGTCTTGGGGGTATCTGATTGAGGTGTTTCAGGTTGTAAAAAGAATTGATAGTGTTGATGCATCATCTTTTTTCATACTTAACAGTGAGAATAGTAGGACTCGGGACACAAGTATAAATTTTGGCAGTGTAAGAGTCATTTTCAGCTAAGACAGTTTTTTGTTTTTTTAACATGATAGTTGGCCTTTTAAATGGGTTGCCTTTGGATGTTGTGGAGGCAGTAAATTTAAGTTAGTTTAAGAGAAAGCTTGATAAGTATATGAATGATAATGGCTGGCTGCAAGATTTTGTTTTAATAAGTTTATTAACAGTTTTAGTTTAGTTTAGAGGATGAAACTGCCAAGATAGATCAATAGGTTCCATATTGTCCCAGAACACTATGTTAAAGTGTGATAGGCATCAAGCTCTTTTCCAAGTGACAGATTCCTACAGTAGTCAGGATTTGATTATCTCCAACCATACCACTTGAAGACTTTTCAGTTTTTAAACAATAGCTGAATCAGTAGTTTACAAGTCTCTTGACAAAGGTGTATAACTGAAATGTCCAGAAAACAAAGACTAATTTTTTGGAGAGGGGTGTGTGTTTTCTCTATCTTTCAACTATGTTGTAAAACTTTTTATTTCAGATGCAAACAGAATAGCACAGTTTCAGTAGTGTTTAACTAGCAGAAGTGTACAATGTAGTCTGATGAGCATTGTTTTTTCCTGTTCTGTGCTTATGATAGTGTCAAAAAGTATGGAGAAAAAACACACAAGATCCTCTTGATTCTGTTTGTTTTGTACTAATAATGTAAAATGCAGCAGCGACAAAGGTCCTTTGATTTCTTTACAAGAGCAACTTATATCCAGACTATGCCCTAATCTTGTTAGTAAATACTTCTACTGTACAATGTCACATTTCCACCCTGATGGGCAAGTGCTCTTCTGTAACTAGCATGTAACAATTCAGTCTATTAGCCGTATATGCATGAGTGGATGTCAAAGTATGTATTCCCTAACCTTGTACAGAGTGCCACTAAATATGATAACATGCATTTGATGTCAAAGTTGTAAACATTCCATGTTTCCTTACATTGCTGATTTCACAACAGTTCATGTTAGAGTAATGAAAATACCATATACAATAGGCAAAGATACTGAAAAATCTTAAGATATGCACTTAGGAGGTTGTAGAAGTTAAGCAAACATAATTTGCAAATTGTATTAAGGACAAAAGTACATTTATTCTTCACATAAACATCTCCTTGCATCCAGACTTGTCAGTTTAAGTCAGATTGACTTAAGCATGTCACAGATATATCTTCAATAAAAAAAATTTAGTAACATGTCTGATTTTTTTTTTCAACAATAGACTTGTGCACAAGCTTGCCACATTTTGTGAAGATAAATTTGGGAAAAAAGTTAACATTACTTCTCCACTATGGCGTCAATCGATTGGATCAACCCTGTGTACATTCAGTTAATAATGTACAAAACTGACAGTAGAACCAGTAATTTTCCTTGACCACCATAACTGCAGAATCTTAATCTTATTGAGATAAATTTGAATGTTGAATTTGCCATGATAATCCTCTTCCACCATACACTTTAGCAAGTGGACTACAATCAAACAAGACATCTTTTGACATTTTGTAGTCTATGCTACACCAAGACCATGTTATTTTTGCACAGGAATGTGGATCAACCCAATATTAAATGAAGATCCCAATAAAGTGGTCAGTTAGTTTAATTCACTAAATTATCTGAATAATGGTGTACCATACCTTGCCGATACTGTAGTTGTGAAAGAAACACAGTCATTGACAAAGGTTAGAGGTGTTGATCCTGTTACATCCTCCCACTGAGCTTTGGTAACTCCTCCTAATATGGGTAAAATAAATGTAATGGTTCTTTGTACTTATAAATCTTTGTGCAAATAATCCACAAGCAGTATATTTCAGCTAATACTTTAGTTCCACTTCAGAAATAACAGTACACACATACAAGTTTTTAGGTATTCTGCAAAAACATAAGAAACAAAAGCTATTATTTGAAATCAAATAATTCTACCTATTACAAGAATTATACAGCCCATCAAAAAACTAAAAATACTATAGGACATCACTCTTAATTGCAATACACAAGCCAGGTGAACCCCAATTTTCATAAATAAAAACATCTATTCAATAAAAAATATTAATTGAAATGAAAATAAAATAGGAAAATTAACATCAAGTAAATGATGTAATAGTAAAACATTTTAAAAACCTTTTTTTTCTTGTAATATAAACAATTTACTTGCTAAACTGCTTTTCTTCTCTTGAATTTTTCACATTATCAACAGATTTTAGTGCCATAAAGAAACATATTTCTTGATTTGTTTCTTCTAATCCATTAAAAATGAAAATGAAATGAAACCATACTTGAAGTGTATTTATAAATTACAAATAATAAAAACGTTTTCCAAATGGAAGTAGTATAAAACAATGGTATTGAACAAAATTCCTTTTTAATCAGTAAACATATATCTAACTCCTTATAAAAGTCATTCACCCAGGTCAATTGTAATTGTTCATAATACTTCAGAAGGTTGATGGCAGGTAACTTATGTACCCTAGACAAATCTTAAGCATACATTATTATTTGATGTAAACAATAAAATACTACATCATCTTACGCTGACAAAAATTAATTAGGATTTTACACCATTTAACCAATAACATATTTACACAAACTCTTGTTTATCAGAAGCTCATAACTGGGTGGCAAATGCTGCAGAAACGTATGAAATATTAGGTTTCTTTGAATGAAAATACATTCTTACAAAATGAATCTTAAATCATAATACGCAATTACATTTTACATGATATAATCCTCCTTCAGCTTTAAAAAGAATATGAAATATGTCATTGCTGTATTATATTAAAAGTAAAACTATATATAAATATATATATATACATATGTTACAGGTTGAAAAGAGAGTCAGTGATATAGAGGCCTAATGCAAACCCTTGATTGGTCATACTCTGCTGTGTACTGCTGTTTTTCCAGGCTCATCAGCACAGTTTGTATCAGCAAACCAAAAAAATACAGTCTACAGCAGAGGGTACAGCCAATCAAGGAATGCATTAGGCATCTACATCACAGATTCTCTGTTCAATTTTACCTACAGTGAAAAAGAAAGAAACTTGTAACATATATTGTGTGTGTGTGTGTGTGTGTGTGTGTGTGTGTATATATATATATATATA